AATTGGGTCAACACGACTCAAACTAGGTTATAATTAGTCTTTTTGGACCCAAATGGGTTTAATGGGGACAGTTATCCATAACTAGTGTAATTGGGTCACAATGACACTAATTGGGCCATATTTGGTTTGTTCAGACCTTAATGGTTATCATGGGCTTATTTCTCCTATTGAGTCTAATTGAGCCATGATGGTACTAAGTGGTTCAAAATTAGTATAATCAGACGTTAATGTGAGTAATTGAGGAAGAAAGGGTCTTAGCGGTCCTTAATTGTGATAACTGGATCTTGGTTATCACCCGAGGTAATAAATACGTGATTATTTGTTACAAAATTTCTATGTGACAACATGATAAATTGCTATATTTGATCATGCTAGTATGTGAAATTATATGCATAATATGGATGCATGTATGAGATTGGATGTGTGTCTGTGTGTGTCCAAAATTATATATGTATATGTGGAATTATATATATATATATATATGCATACATGCATGTTATATAAGAATGCATGGTGTGTGGATGTATGCATGTGCATGAAGTGGTTAGCATGGGAAGGGGGCTGTTTAGCCGACCTTCCAATTTTAGAAAGATATAAAAGGAGGTTGAAGTCTCCATTATCTTCTTCTTGCCTATTTTAAAAGTTGTGCGATTTAAGGATAGAGGGAGTGACCGGATTTCAAGTATCTGATTTTAAGAAGGTTGTTTTCAAAAATCTTGTTAAGGTGAGTAATTTCTAAACCTTTTTGCATAAAACTTGTTACTGTTTTTATTTGAATGTTATTTATTATTGGAAAGAAATCAGTTATTTTGCTTAAGGGTTTTATCCGGACAAAGGCTGACCGGATTAAGTTTAAATCGGGCAAGGGTTGGGCGATTAAGCCATAAACCGATCAAGCGTTAAGTGGTTCAGTTTTAAATCGGTCAAGCTTTGAACGATGTATTGTCCTGACTTTTATCCGGACAAAAGATGGAATTTATAATTAAAGTGTTAAATCGGACAAGCCTTGGGCGATGAGTTGTCCAGATTTGGTAAACCGACTAAGACTTGACCGGAGATGAAGTCTGGCCAAGTCTATGTTGATCGGATTTGTATTGCGCCTTGTGCTTGATTGATAAAATTCTTATTTTATCATAAAATGGAGATTTGATATAAATTATTTTTGGATTGATAATAATTTCAATGGCTGAGGTCTATTTGRAATTATTTTTGTGAAATGTTTTGATGAGGAAATAAAGGTGGCATATCAAAGAGAGGTGTACCATGGGATAAGGGYGGCATATCAAGGAGAGGTGTACATTTGATATAAGAGTGGCATTTGTATGTGTGTTGCATGATATAACTCTTTCTATTATATCCCTTAAGACTACCGTGGTCTGTAATCTTTATTGTTTTGTGATTTAAAGATTTAGGATCAAGGTTTTTATTGAAAATCATAGTCTGGATGTTATTGAGGAGAAACATCAGGTTTGGCTTGATATTTTAAATAACCTTGTTGATTTGAAAAGGATTAAAAGTGGCATTATATGGAACCTAGCTGGTTCAAAGGTATGATATTTGAATAGCTAAATGCTTAGTTTGAAAAGTTGAAAGGATTTGGTATTTTGTTCCTATTCGTTCATATATTTGATATATATGAATAGTTGTTTTACATAAAGGTTTTGGTGATTTTCACCCTGCAATATCATAATAGGGTATCTCACTAGACCTTTCGGTCTAACCCTCGTTTTGTGATTTTAACTATCTATTGCAGGAGGTTCGGACGGTAAGGGAAAAKGGAAAATTTGATATTTTTCCTATACGCATTTCTACATGAAGATCTGTCTTGATGTATAGTTTTGATTGATTATTACAAGAAATATATTTGAATTTTTGGACCTTGTATTTCTTATAATAAATTCTTGTACTAAGGGACCTGAATGAGATAATATCATGTATTTCTTTTGTATGAAATATGTGTTACATGCATTTTATGGTTTGGGACGTTACATTAATGGGTCCAAATGGTGGCAGTGGATATAATGGACCTAATTCTCGTTAAAAAGTCCAATTGACTCAAAATGACACTAAATAGGTCAAAATCAGTCCCATTAGATCCTGATGGTTTTAATGGGCCCATTTATTCGTAACGAGTCTAATTTGGTCAAAATGACACTAAATGGGTCATAGTTGGTGTAACTACATGTTAATATGACTATTTGAGGTAGAATGAGTCTTAAGTGTACTTAATGGGTCCATCCACACTTATTGGATATTGGTTCCTATTTGGTATAATCGAGTCATTTGGCTCAAAATGACAATAAATGTATCATAATTAGTCTGATTACAACCTATTAGGTTAATAGGGCTCATTTATCCATAAGAATTCTAATTGGCTCAAAATGACAATAATCGGGTCATATTTAGTTTGATCAGACTTAATGGGTACGATGTGCTTAGTTCGTCATAATTAGTCTAATCAGACATTAAATTGAGTGATTGAGGGTCCATTTGGTGTTAGTGGATATTGGCCTATTTCTCCTTAAGAAGTCGAATTGGGTCAACACGACTCAAACTAAGTCATAATTAGTCATTTTAGACCCATATGAGTTTAATGGGGCCAATTATCCATAACTAGTGTAATTGGGTCACAATGACACTAAATGGGCCATATTTGGTTTGTTCAGACCTTAATGGTTATCATGGGCTTATTTTTTCTATTGAGTCTGATTGAGCCATGATGGTACTAAATAGTTCAAAATTAGTATAATCAGACCTTTTTTTTAAAGGAAACCAGGCAAATTTATAAACCGTAAAAGAAATACAGCGGAAAGACAAATATTTGACCACTACTTACAAAGAATAAAACCCAAAGACTTGGCCAACACCTCATACCAAGCCACAACAAGCCAAAAGGAACAAAGCCCAACAGACTCAAACAGACAACAAAAAATAAAATAGAGGAGCATAAAACACAAAGAAGCCCCCCAAACCCATAAACGATCCACCATATCAACCAACACTTCTCACAGGCTGCCTCGTCAACCAATCCGCAGGAATTGAAATAGAATCATGATAACTTTGATAAGTTGCAAAGTTGTGTGGCTTTCCTCAGTAAAGAGACGTCTATTTCGCTCCTGCCAAATATAAAAAACAGACGCTGCCAACGCAAGCTTCTTCTTTACACTTTTCGGACGTCGACTTGAATCCGAAATTGTTTCCAAAACTTCATGAGCATAAGAACACTGAAAGAATAAGTGGGAATGGCTATCCATACAATGTCTACAAAGCAAGCATTCCAGATCCGGTGGTTCATCCTTCCAAAGCATACGATCTTGTGTAGGAAGACGCCTCTGACAAGCAAGCCACAAACAGAACGCATGCTTAGGGATATGGCCAGATAACCATACCGCTTTGTGCCAAGGAACAATCGGGTGAGATCCCTCTAACAAAGCCCAAACATTACTCACCGTTAAATTCGAAGCAGAAGTACGATCTTCACCCCAAAGAACTCTGTCACGAACTGAATCAATCAACAACGGTAACGGAGAAGAATGCAGCTCAGCAAACCTGCTACTCCAATCATCCGGCCAAACACCCTCCCAACTCATCAGTAGATCACGAACCGTCGTAAAAGTTGAGAACCCAAATGAATGGACAAACCGATAAGAGATAAAAGCCGAAAGATGACCACAGGATAGCCAACCATCCTCCCAAGCATTTGTATCCCGACCATCACCAACCTGGGAAAAGAAAAATCTACGCAATTGACTACGTAAGTCCAACAGCTTAGGAAAGACCTACGACCAATTAGAGCTTTTCCTAACCAGCCAGAATTGTGAGGAGCGAAGATTATGACTATACACCCAACAAACCCACAGAGAATCCCGATGCCTCACAATATCCCACACATGTTTAGCAAATAACGCTCTATTCCAAAAGTGGACAATCGCTTAATCCCAAGGCCTCAAGATTCAAGAGGTCGACAGACCTCATCCCAAGATAACCTACATCTACCTCGAGGATCATCCCTTGGAGCCCAAAGAAATTTCCAAAAAGTAGATTCTAAATCATGGATTACCCCAGACGGGAATAAGAACACCGACATCCAATGAAGCTGAAGGGATTGCAGGACCGATATTATAAGTTGACGTCTCCCTCCAAACGATAGAAACTTGGACTTCCAATTAAGAATGTGACCCTTCACCTTAGCAATTAACGGAGCATAATCACATAGCTTCAACCGAGCCTGAGATAAAGGAACCCCCAAGTATCAGACAGGAAACGAACCAAGCTTGAATGGTAGACACTCTAGAATGGCCTCCTTAATGTTAGGAGGCACATTACCAAAGTAAATTTCGCTTTTTTCAAGGCTTGGTGCTAATCCCGAACGACTCTGAAAAAGAAAGAGTGCCTTTTTTAGCACTTCCACCGAAAGAACATCCCCTTTAGTAAAAACAAACAAATCATCAGCAAAACAAAGATGTGTCAAATCCAGCTCATCACAACCCCGATGGTACCCAAAATCAGCTGCTTCCCGAATACAATGCTTAAGGAGCATAGAAAACCCCTCCATCACAATCGTGAATAGATATGGGGATAAAGGATCCCCTTGTCTAAGACCCCTCCCTCCATGAAAAAACCCATAGGAATTACCATTAATCGCAAGTGGATAAGAAATGGTAGACACCAACTCCCTTATCCACTTGACCAAAACTGGATGGAATCCTAAACCTTGGAGCATAACAATGAGGAAACGCCAGTCCACAGTATCATAAGCTTTTTTTATATCAATTTTGAACGCACATCTAGGTAGGCCGTTGAGAACTGGTACCCAGAAACAAGCTCATATGCCATAAGAATATTATCCGTAATTCTGCTACTCGAAATAAAAGCTGATTGTGCTTTATCAATTAAGGAATCCAAAGATCCCTTCATTCTGTTTACAATGACTTTACTAATGCATTTGTAAAGCATTGTACACCAAGCTATAGGCTGGTAATCCGTAACCCTAGATGCATTAACAGATTTAAGGAGAAGACATATAAAAGTATGATTCAAATTCTTCGGGAGGTTACCTCGATAAAAGAAATTGTGGATAGCAATCTCCACATCACGACCAACAATATCCCACTCAGCTTTGAAAAACTTGGAAGAAAATCCATCAGATCCTGGAGCTTTATAATTTCCAATGCTAAACATAGCATTTTTAATTTCATCATTTAGAATCGGCTGGATCATGTAGTTAGCTTCCAATAAAGAGAGCTTTCTTGTGAAGACATCTTCAGGCATAGACGGATCGGAGGAAACATACGTCCTACCCAAAAAAATCTTTAAAATGATCAACAAACATTTTCAGGACATCTTCACCGTAGATGTAATCACCACCACTAGTACAGACTGAATGAATGGTGTTGGAGTAATGGCGCTCTTTGATCACCTTATGGAAGAATTTGGTATTCATATCACCTTCATTCAACCATTTAATTTTGGCCCATTGCTTAGCAGCATATTCCTCGTCCCAACAAGCATTCTGATACGCAATACGGATATGACCAAGTTCAAGACCCAACTCGTCATTGGAAGGGTCTTTATCTACATCCAGTTGAATACGATCTAATTCAGTCTTCAAAAATGAGACACGTTTTCCCCGGTTATGATAAGAATTCTGAAGTTTACGAAGCGGAGTTTTGAGAGCCTTCAAGTGAGAAGTTACTCGAAACATAAAGGTGCCCTCAATATGTTTTGCCCATTCGTCCTTAACAACTTGTAAAAAAGCTAGGTGGTCTGTCATGAAATTGTCGAATTTGAAACCATACCTTCTTTTCCGAGCGCCACCTTTGAAAGATAAGACCATCGGCGAATGGTCCGAAAAGCCCGATGGATGAAACTGTACACAGGCATCATGGAATTTAGAAGTAAACTCTGAATTAGCCATAGCCCTATCGAGTTTACGCATGATACCCCCTTTTGAGTTCGGCTTTTGGTTCCAAGTGAAATGGACACCTGTGTAGTGTAGATCAAATATTTCAACATCCTCAACGTACATAAAAAAGTCTGACATATCCGTATTACGGCGAGAAGACCCACCAAACTCATTATGTGGAAGTAACATGGTATTGAAATCCCCCATTAAACCAGAGAAAGGAAAATACAATCTTCGCCACCCCGTAAAAATACCTTACAATTTAGGAATTGACTATGGGCCTCCAAGACCATAACATCTAAAACTCGTGAATCCCATGCTAGGATTATACGAGTTCCAGACTCACACACAACTTGATTAGACATCTAATACCATCGACCAAAAGAATTAGGGCAAACACTTTCTAGGGAATCTTTAGAAACGTGCGATTCTACAATGACACACAAACATAAATCATTACACTGAATAAAATTTCTCACCACTTTTTGTTTAACCAGAGAGTTGAGCCCCCGGATATTCCACGAAGCAAAGTTCAACATGATGAAGAGGTTGGAACATCCCCTTGACCCTGATTATCCTCATCCACATTTCGCACAACAGGATCTTTTCCAGCACCATCATGAGAGTCCAATTGAGAACCCTCTCCCCCTAACTTCTCAAGAACTCCAAATCTGTTAGAAGCTTCCACATTGTCTTTCATAACCCCCCCCCTTCGTGGTAAACGAAAGTTTTTTATCACAGAAGAAAGAAGTGGAGTAGAAGTAGTCATAGAATGAGTAGATTGGGAAGACTGGGAAGAATAGGCCCCAGAAACTACATTCATACCTGAATCACAATAAGCATTTCTCACATTATTTCCATGTTGAACAACCGGGTCTACATCAGAGGTACCCATATTCCTTTCCTGTTCCTGTTCACTTCGTGAAGTATTCGCTACCAAGAACGGTGCATGAAGGCCAGACTTCGCACTCTCATTTACTTGCCGGGCACCAGATTGATTGGGCTTACCTCCAGATTTGGCACGCCATTATTTTTTCTCCACTCTAATAAACCCTTCTGAGTCTTTACTCACATCGACATGCTTCCCTTTATTGAGACTAGCGGCTTTTGCACAGGACGAGATTTTGTGACCAAATATTTGGCAATGGGAACATTGAACCGGCTCCCACAAATATTCAACCTGTATTTGTACACTTTCAGTATCCCCTCCATTTAGGTTTGGAATTTCCACCTCAATTTTCCTTTTTAGTTCCCCAATAGCCCAGACCTTAACCAACACTTTGGCAAACCCGGGCCGACCCCAAGCCTTCTCACACATTGCAGCAGTAAAAGAATCCATCTATTTAGGGACTCCAAATACACTTGCTATACGACTAACACCCTCTCTATTGAAAGCAACTAGAGGAATGTTATGCAATTTCACCCACAACGAAAACATGGGTATTAGCGGTCCTTAATGGGACCAAATGGTGGCGTTGGATATAATTGGCATAATTCTCGTTAAAAAGTCCAATTGAGTCAAAATGACACCAACTAGGTCAAAATCAGTCCCATTAGACCCTGATGGTTTTAATGGGCCCATTTCTACGTAACGAGTCTAATTGGGTCAAAATGACACTAAATGGGTCATAGTT